TACTAAAACTTAAATCAGACATCAAACCCCACACACTAATAGTGGGAGACTTCAACACCCCACTCTCACCAATGGACAGGTCAGCCAGACAGAAACTTAACAGAGAAATAAGGGAAGTAGCAGATGTTAAGACTCAAATGGACTTAACAGACATCTATAGAGCATTCTACCCACACACAAAAGGACATACCTTCTTCTCAGCATCTCATGGAACCTTCTCTAAAACTGACCACATACTCAGGCACAAAGCAAATCTCCACAGACACAAAAAAATTGGAATAACCCCCTGTATCTTGTTGGATCACTATGGCTTAAAGTTAGAATTCAACAATACTACAAATTACAAAAAGTCTACAATTTCATGGAAACTGAAGAATGCTCAACTGAAACACCACTGGGTCAAGGAAGAAATAAAGAAATTAAAGACTTCCTAGAATTCAGTGAAAATGAATGCACAACATACCCAAACTTATGGGACACTGTGAAAGCAGTGCTAAGAGGAAAATTCATAGCACAAGGTGCCCACATAAAGAATTTGGAGAAATCTCACACTAATGACTTAACAACACACCTGAAAGCTCTAGAACAAAAAGAAGCAAACTCACCCAGGAGGAATAGACACCAGGAAATAATCAAATTGAGAGCTGAAATCAATAAAATGGAAACAAAGAGAACAATACAAAGAATCAATGAAATAAAGAGTTGGTTCTTTGGGAAAATCAACAAGATAGACAAACCCTTATTCAAACTAACCAAAAGGTAGAGAGAGAATATCCAAATGAACAAAATCAGAAATGAAAAGGGAGACATAACAACAGACACTGAGGAAATCCAGAGAATCATTAGGTCATACTTCAAAAACCTGTACTCCACAAAATTGGAAAATCTCAAAGAAATGGACAATTTTCTAGATACGTACCACATACCAAAACTAAATCAAGACCAGATAAACAACTTAAATAGACCTATAACTCTCAAAGAAATAGAAGCAGTCATTAAAAGTCTCCCAACCAAAACAGTAAGGTACAGGGCTGGAGAGATGGCTCAGAGGTTAAGAGCACCGACTGCTCTTCCAGAGGTCCTGAGTTCAATTCTCAGCACCCACATGGTGGCTCACAACCATCTGTAATGAGATCTGGCACCCTCTTCCGTGTACATAATAAATAAATAAGTCTTTTAAAAAATAGGGTACAGATCTAAACAGAAAATTCTCAACAGAAGAACCTCAAATGGCCAAAAGACATTTAAGGAATTGCTCAACATCCTTAGTCATCAAGGAAATGCAAATTAAATGACTCTGAGATACCATCTTATACCTGACAGAATGGCAAAGATCAAAAACACTGATACAGCTTATGTTGGAGAGCATGAGGAGTAAGGGGAACACTCCTACACTGCCTATGGGAGTGCAAACTTGTGCAGCCACTCTGGAAATCAACATGGTGGTTTCTCAGAAAATTGGGAATCAATCTACCTCAACCCAGCAATACCACTCTTGGGCATATACCCAAAGGATGCACAATCATACCACAAGGGCACTTGCTCAACTATGTTCACAGCAGCATTATTCATAGTAGCCAGAACCTGGAAACAACCTAGATGTCCCTCAACCAAAGAATGGATAAAGAAAATGTGATACATTTACACAATGGAGTATTACTCAGTGGTTTAAAAAAAAATGTCATCTTGAAATTTGCAGGCAAATGGATGGAACCAGAAAAAAACAACCTGAGTGAGGTAACCCAGACCCAGAAACACAAAAACATGGTATGCACTCACTCATAAGTGAATACTAGATGTAAAGCAAAGGATAACCAGGCTACAATCCACAACCCCAGAGAAGCTAGGTAACAAGGAGGACCCTAAGAGGGACATGCATGGATTGCCCTAGGAAGGGGAAAGAGATAAGATCTCCTGGGTAAACTGGGAGTGCGCCAGGAGGAGGGTGGATATGAGAACATGAAGGAATGGGAAGGTCAACTTGGGGGAGGGGCAGAGAGGGAGAGCAAGGAAAGAGCTATCTTGATAGAGGGAGCCACTGTGGGGTTAGGGAAAAACATGGTGCTAGGGAATTTCCCAGAAATCCACTAAGATGACTCCAGTTAAGACTCCAAGCAATAGTGCAAGGGTGCCTGAACTGGCCTTCTCCTGTATTCAGATGATGACTACCCTAATTGTCATCATAGAACCTTTATCCAGTAACTGATGGAAGCAGATGCAGAGATGCACAGCTAAGCACTGGGCTGAGCTCCTAGAGTCCAATCAAAGAGAGGGAGGAGGGGTTATATGAGCAAGGGATCAAGGTCATGATGGGGAAACCCACAGAGACAGCTGACCTGAGCTAATGGGAGTCACAGACTCTGGACTGACAACTAGGTAACCTGCAAGTGACCAAACTAGGCTCTCTGAGTGTGGGTGACAGTTGTGTGGCTTGGGCAGCTTGTGGGGTCCCTGGCAGTGGGACCAGGATTTATCCCTAGTGCATGAACTGGCTTTTTGGAGCCCATTCCCTATTGAGGGACACCTTGCTCAGCCTTGATGCAGCGGGAAGGGGCTTGGTCCTGCCCCAACTTGATATGACAGGCTTTGTTTACTCCCCATGGGAGGCCTTACCCTCTCTGGGGAGTAGATGGAGGTGGGAATGAGGTAGAAGAGAGCAGTAGGAGGGGAGGGAGGGGAAACTGTGAGTGGTATGTTAAATAAAGTAAAAACTTAAAGAGACTACGTACTACCCTTGTATTAAGGCTGGGCTAGGCAACCGAGTATGAGGAGTGGGTTCCCAAAAGCCAGCACAAGAGCCAGAGACAGTCCCTGCTCCCACTGCCAGGAGTCCCAAGCCATACAACTGTCACATATATGCAGAGGTCCTAGGTCAGTCCCATGCTGGCTCCCTGGCTGTCAGTTCAGACTCTGTGAGCCCTTATGAGTCCAAGTTAGTCGATTCTGTGGGTTTTCTTATGATGTCCTTGATACACCTCTGACTCATACAATCCTTCCTCCCTCTCTTCAACAGGATTCCCTGAACTTGGCCTAATGTTTGACTACAGGTCTCTGCAGCAAGCACTCTTTAATTGCTTTTTTTTTTTTTTTTTTTTTTTTTTGAGACAGAGTCTCTCCATGGGAGTAGGTCTTACCAATTAGGCTAGGCTGGCCAGCAAGTACCAGAGGTCTGCTTGTCTCCAGCTTTCCAAAGCTAGGATTATAAGAACATGCCATGCCATCATTCTTTTTTTTATGAATGGTGGGGTTCAAACTCAGGTTCCCATGCTTAAACAGCTCATGACTGAGCCATCTCTTCAACCCCCTGATGGATATGTTTCCTATAAGTACTACAGAGCACCCAACTGTGTTGGCTACCAGGGATACCATGGAGAATTAACCAGAGTCTTATGAATGCTGCTCATAGTCTTGTTGAAGAGACAGACATTTGAAATTAATACAAGATGGCGACAGAATCTGCATAGGGAAGCACTGGTGTCTGGGGAAGATCAACTCTCAATGGTTGGAGAATAACAATCAAGAGATGTCCAGGTGGATTTAGGGTGCAGTAGCTGGAAGGGCATTCCTGAAGATGGAAAAGAGTGTGTCAGTGCATGGGATTCAAAGGCTCAGTCAGCTGAGTGCTGTTGATCTGGAGACTTAAGTACTGGGTGGTACTCAACTAGACCGGATCCAGTTCCTGCAGGGTCCCATGAACCCTGTTACGAAAAATAGTCCTACCAGGTGCTTGGCATTAGGAATTAGCAGACTGGTTTATATTTTAAGTGGCTAATAAGGCCTATGTTTTATCTTTATCAATTAATTAGCTAATCAATTAATTATGTGCTACAGATGCAACCCAGGCTTTTTGGTGTGCTAAGCATACATTCTAGCTCTTAGCTAGACCCTGAGGTCCCGACTTTATTATTGTTGTTTTTAGAGACAGGGTCCCACGGAGCCCCAGCTGACTCCTAACTTGCTGTTTGCCAAGGATGACCTTAACTGCGTGATCCTTCTGCTTCCACTCCTGTGTTTTGAGATTAAAGCACGCACCAGTGGGCCAGGTTCATGCGGTGCTAGAGATTGAATCCATAGCTCTGTGCGTGCTTTGCCTCCAACCCTTTCCTTCTTCCACAGATGTCTATTACTTAAGGTTCTGTGACGTGGAGCTGTGGAAGCCATCTTGAATTCAGGAGGACAGCAGAGGGGAGAGAAAGAAAGATCCTGTGATTCCGTTTGAATTGTTGAACTGCAAACCAGACCTCAGCTTCCTACATACAGGTTCTAGTTCTAGGAGATGATTAAATGTCTTCATCATTGAAGCCAAAAAACCAAACAAAAACAAACTCCAGAGGCCTTACCTCAACTGGGAGAACCTAATTCACATAGTATTCTAACAAATAATGTATGGTCTAAGGGAAGTGTGGTTTTTACTGTTAAATATTAAAACATGGAGATGGTGTTTCTGTAGGTCAGGTGCTTCCTTATTTATTCATTTTTAATGAGTATGAGTGTTTTGTCTACACATATGTATATGTAGCACATGCATACCTAGTGCCCTTGGAGACCAGAAGAGGGCACTGGAGCCCCTGAAACAGCAGTCCCAAGCAGTTGTGAGCTACCATGCGGGTGCTGGAACCTGGAACCTCTGAAGTACCAGCAAGTGCTCTTCCCTGCTGAACTTCCTCCTCAGGCCCGGTCAGGGTCTTGTCTGGAACACCTAATATCCATAACTGGGTAATGTCATGATTTAAGGTATGCAAAGCTAATTTTGTAAAAGTCATGGGGGAATAGCTTACTGTATACCTTACTCCACAATTGGCAGTGTGAAGGCTATAATCTTAAGAAGGTAGAGCAGAGGATAACACAGTCAGAGACAGAGGAAAGAGGGACTTCTAAAGGGACATGAGGCTTCCATAGAGAACATCGCCAACTAACTGTGACCTCCAGCTATAAAGATTTTGGCCACTTTCTCTTCTGTCTTGTAGACCTCCTTTGGCATTCCTTATGTGAAGGCTTACCTCAGCAGGTGTGGCAAAGCCAGTTGTTAATCTTCATGTCCTTTTCCCCAGCAGGCAGTCTTGCTTTCTTCTGTTCCTTGAAAAGGCTAGAGGAAGAATGGTGGATATTGTCCACTTCTTAGCCTCAGGGAATTCTAGCAACCCACCTGCAGGTCTTGGCCTGACACTATGATGGTAAGGTTTTGTGCTTCTGGGTTTCACCATCTTTGCTCAAATGCAAGGTTCTAGATTTTATTTCTCTACCTCCCCTAAGTACTGGCTACTGTCTCCTTCAGTGGCTCAGCTGAGGCTGGTAAAAGAAGCCTCACCATCTTGTCCTCTCCAGGAAGCAACATGAAAAGTAGGCATTGTGCTCTCTCATCTGACTTCCTCATCTGTCATGAGGTAGTTTGGTCCCCAAACAGCTGCTTGACATAATACACCTGTGGAGAGACCGCCACCAGAGTGGTGCCTCTTGTTCTATTTCCCATTGGAAGTTTCTTTATCCATATTCTCAATTTTTTTTTTGCAAAAATGCCAGAAGAGGGGAACACAAATTGCATGTAGTCATGAACAAAATATGAAACAAAACAACCCAAACTACAGTCCAGAAGCATGCCAAGAGAGAACGTTACTGCAGGACAAGTTTTATCAAAGTGATAAAGGATGCTTGGAAAGAAGCAGATCAAGGGAGCTGAATCCCTCTCCCAATGACACTGCATTATTTGTAATGAGTTTGTTTTGTTTTGTTTTTTTTTTTAACCCACTATTAAAGACAACAGAGGGCTGGGGAGATGATTGAGGGTGGAGGTACTTGTCAAGCATGGTGACCTGAGTTGGATCTCTGGGTCCTTCATTGAAAAGAGAGAACCAATCCCCACAAGTTGCCCTCTGACCTCTACACATGAACCCATGATGCTCTTATATGTACACACAGGTACACAATAAATAAATAACAAATAGAAATAAAAACTGTTTTTAAAAGCACCAGAAAAAAAGCCGGGCAGTGGTGGCATATACTTTTAGTCCCAGTACTTGGTACGCAGAGGCAGGTGGATCTTTGTGAGTTCAAGGCCAGCCTGGTCTACAAAGTGAGTTCTAGGACAGCCAGAGCTGTTACACAGAGAAACCCTGTCTTGGAAAACAAAACAAAAAGCATCAGAAACTTGGAGATACTTTAGCTCCACTATGGTGTGTTAGCACCTGCATGTACTGCACTGCACCTATGGTGTGTTAGCACCTGCATGTACTGCACTGCACCTAATGTCCTTGTCTCAGCTGCTCTGCTGAAGGTGGAGGGAAGAATGTGGAGGAAGGGCTCCCACTGACCCCACAGAGCTCACTCAGTTGTCTAAGGGAGAGTGGACTCCATGAGGAACTCCTTGCAATTATGGAGTCCCTGAGACGTCCACTAGCTCCTTTCCTACCACTTAATCCACATACCCTTGCTAAACTGGCAGCCACCTGGAGCTACCTTAGATGTCAACTTTATGGAGACTTCTCAGTAACTGTCAGGGACACCCATTCCCCACCCCATGTCTCTGTTACACAAGACAAGTTTTAAATGTAAGAATGATGGCTGTTTATCCTTTGACATTAACGGAAGACCAACAAGCCTCATTAGAAGCCACTAGAAACTGGAAAAGTACATGAAGGGGTGCTGGTGTGCTTCACCTGGTCTGAGTTACAGCTGGGAGGAGTACCCTGGGGGAAAATGTGGAGGCAGGTCCCCCACACTCCCTCACTCATTACATCTCTTATTCTGGTCAAATTTTACTTCTGTAAACCATCTCCCAACATAACATTCTGTTTTCTAGAAGGTAAACCTATAAGAAGCAGACATTTTGAGAGTTTAGTATACACTATATTTTTGAGGAATCTAAATTATAATATTTCAGATAAGTGAACAAATGATCTTCTGAAATGCATTAGTGAGGGGTACTACATCAGACAGTGAAACACTGTGCAAACTGCATGAACAAGATTACTGCATGGGTATACTACTCTCCTTGGCTAATGAAAAGATTTAAGGAGTAGGGAAGTGAATAACCCATTTGGGAAATGTGGGGGAAAAAATCAAAATTTAGTTTAGGAGACTAAACACTGTTAGCTAGGATGCTGAAGCAATCTGTTACAGCCATAGTGTAAGACAGAACCACCGTTTCTGTGGGATGCTGGGGTTTACCATTTCAGAGAGTTAGAGTCTGTGGTGGTGGAGCCAGAACATGGTGGCAGGATCAGCTGAGAAGTCACATCTTGATCTGAAGGAGGTAGAGAGAAAGAGAGACACTGGGAACGGCAAGAATCTTTTGAAACCTCAAAGCCTGCCCCCAGTTACACAGTTCCTCTAACAAGGCTGTACCTCCTGATCCTTCCCAAACAGTTCCAGCAAATAGATGAGCATCTGGGGGCATTCTCATTCAGACCGCCACATGATTCTAAAGAGACAGAAGGCATCCTTAGATCTTTTAGGGGATAATGACCTTCCTTTCCAATAACTGCAGCCCTCTAGTGCAGCCCCTGTGAGCTCCCAGGAGGTTTTGTTGGGTCTATTCACCTTTTAGAAAGGTATCACTCATCTGTGTATGGCTATACCACCCCGAACATGCCTGATCTTGTTTGATCCTGAAAGCTAAGCAGGGTCAGATCTCATTTGTGCTTGGATGGGAGGAAGGTGTAACTTCTCCTCTTCATTCCTCTTCTGTCTTTTTCCTTTGGATGCTGCTCAGAGCCTTCATGCTTTATCTGGTACTTTGGACTTCCTTAATCTTTCTCTAGCCACCCCCTCCCCCCAGCCCCTGCCATTTAGCTGCTTATGTATCCTATGGCTTACCCTCCATACCAACTTGGCAATCTGAGTTTACAGCTTGCCTTCTGTAAAGTTTGTCTTTTTAATGTCTAATAAAGTTGATCTTGAGCTTCCATGTGAGTCTGTTCTTAAATTCTTTTATTTAATGAAACTAAGAACCCCAAGAAGGAGCCCTGTTATCCCAGGTATCAACATCAAACAAAATGTGATGCACATATATACACGAGTATGTCAGTTTGTGTGTGTGCGTGTGTGTGTGTGTGTGTGTGTGTGTGTGTGTGTGTGTGTGTGTACAATTAAAACAGATTTAAGTTGAACTCTAGCAATACCAGTTTACCATGCTGTCTCATTTCCCCCAATATCTAGTTTGATTTTTCTTTCCCTCCCAAGTACAGGGAAACGCTCTCTCACTCTATCCTTATTTCTCTGGGTCATTTTCTTATTTTAAGAACGGGTTTTTCTAAGTTGTTTGGGAGGACCTTCAAATCACGCTGTAGCCCAGTCAGGTCTTCAGCTTGTGACACTTTTGTCTCAACCTCCCGAGTATCTGGGAGGACAGTTCTAAACCACCTCAAAAGTCCTGTTCTGGAGTCGGCTTTCTTACACAGACAGCGAAATCGACCAGAACAGGGGTGGTTTAACTTAATTTTTCCTTTCCTATGTAACCAAGGGAGTAGTTTTTATAAGTAACAAAATTGTCAAATACAAACACAGTGCATTGGTACTGCTTTGAGAAATGAAAGTATCCTTGATTTGCTGGAATTTTTCTTTCTTCTTTTTTTTGTAAAGATTTATTTATTTATTATGTGTACAATGTTCTGTCTGCATGTATGCCTGCAGGCCAGAAGAGGGCGCCAAATCTCATTACGGATGGTTGTGAGCCACCATGTGGTTGCTGGGAATTGAACTCAGGACCTCTGGAAGAGCAGTCAGTGCTCTTAACCTCTGAGCCATCTCTCCAGCCTCAGGAAGTTTTCAAAGAAGAAAATGGGGACAAAGCTTTTCCTAAACAGTTCTTAGGAAACTTTGCCAGGGAAGGTAGTTGGTATTTTAGGAATTCGTCTTAAATTAAAAGTTAGCCTGGAGAAAGAAATCAAATGGAAGACACTGGGGCAAGTTTGAAGGGCTGACTCTTGGTAATGTTGTTACAATAATAATAATAATATTAATAATAATAATAATAATAATAATATTAATAATAGTAGTAGTAGTAGTTGTAATAATAGTGCTACCATTCCTACTTGCGTCTTTATAACTGCTCTAGAGGAGGAGGTCCTAGCAGAGAATTGGTGGGCTTAAATGGATCTGTCCTCTGTGTAACAGGAAGGATTTACCTCTTAAGACTGCAGCAGTCAGTAAGTTGCTAATGACTCATTTCTCTCCCGCAGAGATTTAGATTTGGGGCCAATTAAAGGCCTCATCCAAATGAGGGGGAAAGGGACCATGGGGGTGGGGAATGGGAGAATGGGAGAGGGAAAGTAAATAACGGTAGAATCAACATGGAAACGTGTAGAAAACACAGGGTCAGAGTTTTCCTGGGCGGTCAACGAGACTCCTCCCTCCCGCAAATTCCAGGAGTAACAAGACAAGAAAACCCTTCCTTTCTTCTGTAAATGTATAGGGGACTGGGCAGAGCGGTGCATTTGTAATTCTATGATAAGGCCCCAGGATTAACTGTGACTGAAGGAAATCCCATAGTGAGAATGAGAAAGACAGTTTCCCAGCCCCAGTAACTTGAGCACAGGGTAAATCTGTGTGGTCATATTTCCTGGGCCTTGTTTTACCGACACTGTAGCATTGGCTATCGGCAGGGGAGAGAGAGAGAGAGAGTGACAATTTTTCTTGTTTGGTCAAAACTGTAAGCAATTTTACTTTTGCATTTTTATACATACTGTGTTATTTTCCTTTAATGTGGGCAAGTGTTTGGAGTGGGAGCCAGGTTTTCTCAGGTAGGACTTCTTGTTGTTTTTGGTTTTTCCCTCCTCCTGTTGATGAGACCTAGAGACAAGTTGGAAAGGATCAATTCAAGGAAAGGACCCCCAAAATGAACGTGGGTTTTTTTTTTTTTTTTTTTTTTTTTTTTTTTTGGTAAAAGCTAGTAATGTCCTTGTTTTCCCCCTTGGCTCAGTTTTGTAGCTGCCTAGAGGTCAATGTGCCAAAAGTGTTCAAATCAAAGGTTTACAGGTACAGGCCTGTGACCCCAGCTAATCAGGGGGTGGAGGCAAGAAGATTCCAAACTCAAGACATGCTTGGGTTGCAGAGTGTGTTCAAGGCCAGCCTAGGCAACTTGGTGAGACTTGTTTCAAATAATTTAACAATGCAAATGTTAGGCTGCTGGTTAGAGATCTGGTTTATGGTGTTTCCTTTTCTCGCTTCCCTTGAGTGAGTGTCTTTGCTGGAAACTGTATGCTGTAACTGAAAACAAGAGGCTCTTGGGCCTTTGTGAATGGGTCAAGTGCATTGACCAGTTCACCCTCCCTCCATAGCTCCATCCAGTAAAGCTTATTAACTCTAATGAGCCGACCCTTGGATTGGTCAACAGTAGAAGACAGGAACATTCTTGCCAGTGAAGATGATTGTACATAAAGAGGAATCTAAACAAACTGGTTTTCCTAAGTTTCTTCTAATTCCTTATCATTAGCCCATGCACACTGTCCTCTTACTGTATTGCTCATTAGTGCTCTTTAAAATAATTCAGATGTAAATGTTTCTCTGGGTCTTCATCTCCCGAGTCACACGAGTCACATGAAGCAGTATGCCTGTATGATTCTTCTTCTGTCAATCAGTCTTTTCTTATAGAACTTAAGTGTGCATAGAGACAAATAATACTTCTTCTTCTTTAGTAGATGCTGAGAAAAAGCTATCCTGACACTTGCTAAAAACCATGTGGAGAAGAGTTTATTCAAGTCTATTACAATAGGGTGCAGACGAATTTTTAAATGGTCTTAGCACATAAGAAACGCAGAGCCAAATACAGAGTTAAAGCCCAAGAGATCAGAGCAAGAGCCACGACTCCCTTTAGCTTACTACTCGCTGCTGTCCTTCCCCTGAGAGAGAGACCTTCTTCCTGTGTCCTGTCTTTTTATTGCCTTCTGTTCTGCCTTCTCATTGGCTCCAAATCCAACCACATGACTTTCTCTTCACTGCCTGTCTATACAGACCTCCAGGTCTCTATGATTGGTACTGGGATTAAAGGTGTGTGTCACCATGCTTGGCTGTGCCCTTGAACACACAGAGACTCTGCCTGCCATGTGATTAGATTAAGGGCGTGTGCTACCACTGCCAGACATCTGCTTAATGGCTATGACCTCTGATCTCCAGGCAACTTTATTTATTAACATACAAATAAAATCACATTTCAGCACAAATAAAATATCACCATAATAGGGGTAATATGCTAGGAAAGTGAGGTCAGGGTCAACTCCACATACAGCAAAGATGTCTGGGGATTTACGAGCAGAGTAAGGAGTCCCTGGATAGAAATAGGAACAGGAAACACAGGGAGATTCTGACAAAGCTGACCTAAGTGGATTCTAACTACAAGCAAGTGATGAGAAACTTGACCAAACAGGCAGGATGATAGTAATTAGCACAGTGGTTCTCTCTCTCATACACACACACACACACACACACACACACACACACACACTCATACTCACACACAAAACATCTTTACTGTTGATGTTTCCATTGGCATATCAGTCCATTTGAGTAAATGAAGCAAATTGGTCTGATAGTCTCTTATGAATAGTTTTACTCCTAACTGGATGTAGTGGTACAAGCCTTTCATCCCAGCACTTGGGAGTCAGAGGCAGGTGGATATCTGTGAGTTCAAGGCCGGCCTGGCCCACACAGTGAATTCCAGGGCAGCTGGAGCTACATAGTAAGACTGTTTGGAAAAACCAAACAAAAAGTTTTACTCCTTCTGTTTTTTTTTTTTTTTTTTTTTTTCTGGATATTAGTTTAGATAAACTGCACTGGCATTAGTAGCCGAGTAGGACTGGAGATGAGGGAGGATGAACGGCAAAGGACGGGTCTGTGTTCTCTAGGCTGAGGGAGGGGTTGCCTGGACAGTTTGAAGATGGTGGAGCACAGAAAGAAGGAGAAGAAAACCGTGTCAGGGAAAACTCAGAACAACTTTGAGAAGTTGGAGGAAACGTGTCCCCTGCACTGTTAGCTGTTGTCTAGCCCAAGCTTCCTGGTTATCTATCTCTTGTCTCAGTGCTTCCTTACCATTCAGGAGTACGAAGTAAATAAAGAGAAAAACACAAACAATCCTGTGGGTCAGCGCTCATATGAACTGACGGCAGCCCTGAGGATAGTGGCCAGTTTTGCATCTGTTCAATTCATTTCAACATCTGAGTGCCTTTCTCTTCATTTGCTCTTTGAATTTTCCTTTCACTTTGTTTTTAAAATCCTGGTTTCCTCATTAACACATCTTTAAAATCTTTGACATGCTTTCACCTTCTATTTAATGGAGTTACAATTTTCCTTTAAAACCTTTCCACTTCACAAATCATTCTTGCTCTTTGCCCAGATGGTACCCAAAGTGAACAAGGACACTCGTGCCCACCGATGAAGCTGAAGCCAGGGACGAGGTATTGAGAGCCAAGATGGCAGTGCTGAGATGACCCGACCTGAGAGTCACTCACCTTCCAGCCCCTCAAGACACTGCAGCTCTGGAGGCCCGAATACCCTCGCAAATGTGCTGAGAAGAAACAAGCTCAACCACTACGCCATCACTGAGTTCTCCTCACCACTGGATCAATCACAGAGAAGGAAGAAGACGAGACACTCGCATTCATTGTGGATGTCAAGGCCAACAAGCTCAAACAGGATGTGCAAAAATGTTATACCTGTGATGTGGCCCAAGTCAACACCCTGATGAGGAGTGACAGAGAGAAGAAGGCATATGTATGTTCTGCTGCCTGATTATGATGCTCTGGTGTTGCTAACAAAATTGTTATCAAAACTGAGTCCAGTGGCTAATTCTAAATACATGTGCTTTCACCATGAAAAAAAAAATCATGAGGATGCTGAAGATGCTTATCAGAGTTTGGGAATCCACTGCCAGAGATGTGCATCTCACAGGCCACCCAGCACATCTGTTTTGACACCCACAGGTGACACACACCTCACAGGCCACCCAGCACATCTGTTGTGAAACCCACAAGTGACTGCAAAGCAACAACATAGCTATGATGCCATGGACTAATGTTTTTAATGTTTCCTTCTCTCCCCTGATTGTGTGTGCATGTGTTTCTTACTTTTTACTCTCTATTTAGATAGAAATATGCATTGCTGTAGGAAGTTATGTTTTGTGTATTAACATGGGACTTTGCTCAGATGCATGTGTATGGTGAAGAATTTGACAGTCTTTTCCTCTTGGGAAGAAATGTTTTCCCTTTTCTACTTATCTCACTGTGACTGGGGTTTGAAACTTAGCAGACAGTAGACAGATGATCGGGGGAAAATGACAGACTGTTATGTCTGCAGATTGATAGTTATTGAGTTCCTAATCCTACCAGACACAATGACTTATATACAAACTTCACAGCATCAACAAAATGGCAGATTTTAGGGCTTTACCAGAAAGTCTGGAAATGTTGGGGATCAAACCCACAGGGTATCTCACATGACAAACTCTCAGCCCCTGGGATTTCTGATACTAATGAGTATCTGAATATTTGGTGGTAATGGTGGGCCTTCTTAATAAAAAAACCTTCCTGGGAGCAGAGTGAGATGGTGGTGGCACCAGCATTCTCCCCACAGACATATAATTTATCCAACTGTTTATGTCCTGCTGCAGGAAAGGAAGCCAGATGAGAGATGATGGTGCTTAGATTTAGTAGAGTAGTAAGAAAAGATACATCTAGGAAGGCAGCAGGAAAGATGTCCCCACATATTCCTCTCATAACTCCAAGCAGCCTGGAGAGAGAATAGAATCCAAGGCTTGGACTTGAATCTCAGTACCAGGCCTATCACAGCAAAAATCCAGTGCCGGGCACATAACTCCTGTCCCCAGGTTAGCATGTAGGAAATGAACAGATAGAATGATAGTTAGCCAGGAGATGGGTCTTTTTCCTGGTGCTGGGCAGCTGGGCACTGGGGATAGGCCATCTTCATTCTCAGGATTGTGTGTCCTGTAGGAAGCTGGTAACACAGTTCTCCCAATGCTGCTGCTTAGAGACACGGCCACTCTATTTGTCCTGGTCCAGCTAGAAACTGCACTCTAGTGTAACCAAATGTAACGGGATCTCCTCTTGGTGAATGCAAAGTCAATGAACACAAGCTGAAGACCAAAGAGTAAGGAAAGACCTAACACATGAAACAAATAAGGAACGTACCGGGGTTATTTGCAGTCTATGCTCTCCCTGTACAGAGAAGGTACGGATAGGGATTTCTCTTATGTTCATGTAGGATGGTACGTGTGGGGATGAAAGCATTTCTGAGCATGTTTAGATTCAGGTCATACATCAAATATTTAGAAAGGAAAGATAGAGGACACAGGACTGTTTCTAGATACGTTCAGTTCAAGGGCATAGAGCATTTTCTCAAAAAGGAGATAGTAGATGTGAATATTTCTGAGCATGCTCAGTTCAGTATTACAATAACCCACTCCATCACCTAAAAGAATGAGTCAGAGAGGCTGTCAAGTTCCTAGAAGTTTCTCTGAAGAGTTATAGTTGAAACAGAAAGAGAGCAACTTTGAAGGTATAGTAGGAGATTTTAGAGGACTACCAGCTGTGGCATGGACCTTGGCACATTCCTGACACAGAGGAGATCCTTGTGGTGCAACCTAGCTTAGTGCCAGCTCTTGTGACTTAGGGGTAGTTTTTTAACAACTGGATGAACGCAGTGTTGAGAGAGATTCTATTCGCTGGAGGTAGAATAGGGTAGTATGCACAAAACTTTGCCTTGGAATACAGTGTTGGGTTAGTGAAATCTTTTTTTTCTTTAGATTTATTTATTATGTATACAGTGTTCTGCCTGCATTT